AACTTGCAATAAAAAAAAACTCGTGTTAGCTCTTAAGTACGTTTGTGGTGGGGAGGGTATGTTATTTCTCCACCACCTTTTCAGATTTTTTTTTCCTTCCTTCATCATAAATCATAATAAGCGCCTCTTCCAAATTTTGATTTTGTTAGTCAATTATGATGATGTGGGAGACAGTTAGGTAAGGGAAGCTAGATATTTTTCACCCCTCTCACCACACATTTTTTTAATACTACGCATAAATCCTCTTTTTTCATTCCTACACTACTTTTCTATTTCTTATTCATTCTTCCACCTAAATGTCAATTATGCACTCTCCAAACTTGATCATATCCACTACCACCTCAACTTGTCTATGATTCCTCTCTTTACAATTTAATTTTAATTTAAACTTTTTTTAACAACTCGTACACGCATTTTATCTTTTACAAAGAGTCCAAATTCACCACCTCACGCTTACTCTATGTCTGGTATGAGAAAAATAAAAGAGAGAAAAAACTTTAATGAGGTCGATTTAAAAAATTAGAGACGTGAGATTTTAAAATTTTAACATACAGAAATTACAAGATAAATGTCTATTAAAATTTTTACCTCACTTATTCAATTTTTTTAAATTGAGTCTATTAAAATTTTTCCTCTCACCAAATGGACCCTATTGAATTATTAAAGAAAATGTTTTAGACAGACATTTGATGTAATTGAACTATAAGTTCATAAATTAAAGTTCAGTTTCTTTATACACACAAACCCCACAACCAATTTCTGAAATTTAATTAGATTAGTTTAAGTTAAATCTAAATCTAGCTGACTTTTAAGCGTCAAATATCATATATTTTAAAAAAATTCTTATTAATATGCTCATATTTTAGGATGAATTCTCCTTTTAAAACCATACTTAAAATGATCACAGTGTAAAACTCTTTCAATTTTTTTTTTTTTTTGGGGTTCAGGCTCAAAACTCGAACTCAAGACTTTTTCTCATAGGCAATATAAGAAATACCAAACCAACATAAGTGAGTTATTTTTCAATATAGTTATATGATCTCTAATATTCTGGAGTTTGTGAAATTGACATCTCTCTCAATATAATTTTTTTCTTCACAAGATTTAAATTATATTTTGACTTAAAGGGAATTCAATCATTTTTTTCCCATTCAATCTAGTTAGCGGGGGTTGAATCCATTGTCGTTTGTTTACAAGTTATTTTCTTTTTCTGGATACATCATTTGGTTTCTAGAAATACATATAATGATGATTGGCTCTAATTCATGCGGGTGGGATTATATGACTATAAAGTCTTCTCTTTTTCACCACATCATATTTTTAATATAACATCGAGTTAATTAATTTGAGAAAATTAAGAAATCTAAAATATTATTTAATTATAACATATGTTACATGATTTGTTTAAAATATTTATGCGTATCATTATATTATATATCAAGTTATAAGTTAGATAAATTAGTTTGAAAAAAATAATAAATATAATATTTTAAAATAATTTATTTAACTTTTATTAATCTCCCCCAATTAGTCAAGTAGATATTAATATTATATTAAGGATTTGGAAGTACCTTTTGTTCTTAATATAAAACATAATTAACTAATTTAAATAAATTAATAATATTGCTTAAATTAGTTAATATGATATTTTTTTTCTAAAATACCCTAAATATCTTTCTTAATTTCTTTTTTCCTTATCGTACTTGATTATTGTAGAGAGTATCAATGGGGTTAATTTGAAAAAAAAAATGATAAACATATAAAATAAGTCTTACATATAATATCAATATCTTCTAGGGTACTCTTTCCGATCTTAAATATAATTACACTACAAAATGACTCTTATATTTATGACAAGGGAGATATCATTTTTCACCCAGTGAGGGAACTCACGCATGCTCATGGAGGGTCAAGCATTGAACTCTAAGTTTAATAATAAGTAAAAGTTAAAATAAGCATTAAGTTAGCCGGGTTAAATAATTTTGACGGATATAAAATTTTCCTTCTCATACAAGATTTGACTAAGAAAGATCTAGATGTAATTATGTTATGGCATACACGTAACGGGCTATGTGTCCACGAAAAGTATTGAATCCATTCCCCCCAATGTTTTTATATAACTTATTCTGATTATTATACTTACACCTGTGAGTAGGGACACGTGGGTAACAAATATTAGTTAAGGTTTCTTTAGAATATGTTCGAGATCAACGAGGTTTCGGAATTCTCTAGAATGTCAGGCCTAAAAAAAACAAAAGAATTGTCTAGAATGAATGAAAGAGAAAAATAACACCCTGGCAAAGTAAAAGATGTCTATCTTGCTCTTCACATTTTGTTGACATGGTTTCACAGCACCTTCTTATACACACACATTACCTCCGATCCTAGTTATAAGAACTAGTTGACTAATTTTAAAATATTAAGAAAGTAAGTTGAGTTAGTTATTTATCCTAAATAGGTGTTGTCTTTCCTAAAATATCCATACTAATTAAGTGTATTGACTAGAACTATTATTGTTAGAAGGGTTATTTAAAAAATATATATATAAATATGAGAGACAAAATGGATCGGGGTCTTATATTTAGGGATAAAATAAAAATCAAACAGGGTCTTATATTAAGAACCGGAGGTAGTATTTATATATATATAAATTTCTAAACATGTGAAGTTTTCTAACATTTTTTGACCTGATGTTTTTTTTTTAAAAAAAAAATTAACTCTGACAGATCACTGAATTTTAATCTATAAGAATAACTTCAATTTGACGTCTATTTAAACTATAAACTTCATAGCAAATATACTACCCAGGGGTCAAAAACTTTACAACCTACTGATATGGAGGTTCATTTATAAAGATAAAGTTGTATGTTTAATCCGCTTGTAACCTTTTTAATTAATTTGAAAAAATAGCCATGCTTAATTTTCAGATTCAATACAACCATTTTGCATCATTTACAAATCAAACTTATAAAAGAAAATCAAATTTTTTATGATCTTTATATTTGTTTTTAAGGAAATTTATGAATAAGATAATCTAAATCTGAACGGATGTAACCTTTTTTTTTTTTTTTTTAAAGTTATATGCAACTTATCTTTAATTGTATGTAAATGACTTTTAGTTCAAAGATTTTTCACATAGTTAAATATATATTTCATAAAACTAAAGAAGAGTTGCATTATTTGACGATTTTTTACTTCAGGTCCCTTTAATAAAACTCCTCATTAATGATTTACATGATCAATTAACATTACAAACATTTTTATGCCAAGCAATTATCTCAAGCTGGCTATAGTTCTTCCCTTTTGCTACGTTTCACTCAATAAAAAATATAGGTTAATATTAGTTTTATAGTTTAATTAAATTTTGATTTCTGTTCTTATAGACTCAGATTATTAGTTTTGATCCCTATAATTTTATAAGAATTGGTATTAGTTTAACAAATGGCCCATATACCTTTAATGAGTATTAGTTTTGATCCATACACTTAAACCCATATTAAGTTCTTATATAAGGGGCAAAATAAACTATTTGAAACTGCATGCAACTTGTTACTGAGATGAGCAATGAAATTAGTTTCATGAATCAATAAAGTTAAAATTTAATCAAGGATAAAAAAAAAGTTAAAATTTAATCAAATTGTAAAAACCAACAATGATATTAACACCAAACAAATTTAAATTTATAAAATTACATAATTGCAAAATTTTCCAACTTCTCTTGACCCGAAAAATTTGACTCTGAAAGATCATATAATTTAAAACAATATTAATATCAATATAAACTATAAAATTTATCACATATCCATTGTCGTTGGCTGGATTTTAGCTTTATCCAGTTCCCTTTCATCACTTAAAAAAAACATAATATAAATGTATAAAATCATTATAATGTCCTTTCCAACTCTTTTTTGGCCCTAAAATTTTCTGACTAGGAAAGGTCACATAATTTAAATAAACATTAGCATTATTTATTACATACAAAAGAGTAGAAATTTATTTAAAAAACTTAATATTTATAAGGAAAAAAGAAACAGTTCAGTACATTTTTCGTACAATGTTCTTCTTTCAAAACTAAAAATACGATAGATAAACAATTTAGTAGTACATGATAAGTTCTGATAAAAATATAAAAGCCTAATATAAACAAAAGAGAAGACAGAAAAACCAAACAACAAGATAATGAACACTAAAACGAGAAACAAAGAACTGGCTGAAACAAGATTATCCGCACAACTTGAAAATAGTTGACCTCATTTTCCGGATTTCATGCTCTCATTTTTATGCCAACGCAAATAGTTTAAGCCGACTTGTTCTTCACGTTTATTGGATAAGCTTGGCCTAATTTTACTCATTTAAGAAAATAAACATAATATCCATATATGGAAGTATAAAAAATGTCAAAAATTTATTAAATACAAAATAACAAAAAATTATTACTAAGTTAAAGATAACTACAAGCAATTTTCAAATTTCATACAATACACGCAATATATATAGAGAGAGAGAGAGAAATTTATTTGTGAAAGTAATGAATTAATAGCTCCTAAAACTTAATTTGACAGGGATAGTCAGACAATAAATTGGTGAACAAGTTGTGTATGGTCTTGTTAAGAATTTTAAATGGATGTTGTATTTTTTTTTTATTGTGAAGTTTAAAATGATAGTACCATTTTAAATTAAAAAAATAAAAAATTTAGTAACTTGATTAACTACAGTTCAATCATAGTTGGATTATTAACCTTTGAACAACTATTATGACCAGTTTAACGGTCAATTCAGTTTTCAGTATCTTAAATTTTATTCAATACAAAATGATGAACATGGATAACAAATTCACTATTTTCAAGTTAAAAAGCAATACCACTAATTTTTCAAATTTCGTACAGTATGGTACTGTGCATTCTTTATTTTTTTTTAAAAAGAAATTTAATTTGTGAAAAATAATGGATTTTTTCAAAGAGAAAGATAAAGATGAAGAAGGAGCCACGAGACTTGGTTTACATATGCTCCTTGAAATTCTCCATATATGTGAACGAATCGCGAAGGAGTATTTAATAAATTTCACATATGAGCCATACATCCATTTCCATCACTGGCTGAATAACACCTAAGCCATATATCGTCACCGCCTCTCTCTCTTCCTCTCCTATATATCTCTCCCCTCAAATCTCTCTCTTCTCCCTGTGTGTTCTATTTTAACCCCTAAATCTTTTTCTCTCGTTCTATTGACCCTCCATTGAAACCACAGATTCTTATGGTATCCCTTTGATCTCTCTCTCTCCCTCCCACATTTTCCTTTCCAACCAAAGCCCCTTCCGCACATCGATCTCTCTCTCTCTCTCTCTTCTCCTTCCACACATTTCTGTTCGGAATTTTTCAGAGGAACGCCGAGTTTCTGTGTCAGGTTATTGTTAGAGGCGGTTTGTTTTGTGATCAGTTGTTTGGATCTATTGAAAATGAAGCCGAGGATTTGTGAGTTGTGTAGCCAGGAGGCGTACCTGTATTGTGCCTCGGATTCTGCGTTTCTCTGCTGGAAATGTGACGCTAAGGTTCATGATGCCAATTTCTTAGTTGCTCGCCATATCCGGGAGGTTCTGTGTTGCGATTGCAAGTGTTTCGCAGGAAGACAGGTTTCCGGAAGCGTAGTGCCGCTTGAAACTATGTCCTGTCGGAATTGTTCGCCGGAGAAGCACTCCGATGAGGAGGATTGCCTGTCTTCGTCTTCCATGTCGGCTTGCGTGTCAAGCACGGAGTCCTGTGCTACAGGTCCGAAGAAGATTCGTCATCGGACGGAGACAGTGGCGTCGTCCGGTTCCGTCGCGGATGAGAGGTGCCCGGCGGAAGGGAAGAAGAAGAATCCTGGGCGGTGCGCGGCGGAGGAGGTATTCGTGAATTGGAGCAGAAAGTTAGGGTTAAATGGCAATTGCGTGGCGTCCTTGGCGTCGCAGGCGATGGGGAAACTAATGGCGGCGGTTCCGTTCAGAGTGGCGGTGGCGACGTCGTTTTGGTTCGGCCTGAGATATTGTGGCGACGGGCAGTTACGCACGGCTCAGAATTTGAGAAAGTTGGAGGAAATGTCGAAAGTGCCAGGCAAGGTGATCGTGGCGGCCGAGGAGAAGCTGACACGTGTCCTCAGACCCAAAAAAGCTAGGCGCGAATTCGAGGAAGGATGGGCCGAGTGCTAACCCTTCCTTGAAATCAACTTATTAATATTCTCTCTGGTTTTTTTTTCCTTATCATATCATTAAAAAAAAAGAGATTTGCAAAAACGGATCACTATTAAGCCTTTGATCTCTGAGTTTCTGTCCCTTTTGTTGTTTGATCTTAGTAAAATTAGTTCTGTTCTGTTCTAGGACAATCAACTTATTTAGTTTGAGAAAGTTGAATTTAAATTGTAGCTTATTATATCAAACAAATTAAATTCGCGCTATATAGGCTTTTGAATATCAAATTCAGCTAATTTGAATTGAGCCGAGCGTTTTGATAATAGTATGCTGATAAATGATTTTCTCTTTATTTCGAAAATGAAGATGATCAAAAGGAGCAGGCTTTTGGACAAATTGACATGTTAATAGTAGTCTATTATGAATCAAATTGAATGTTTTTTTTGGATAATAGTATGCTAATAAATAATTTTCCCTTTATTCCTGAATTTGAGTGTGGAGGAAATGGACAAATTGGCATGTTGGGGTAATGGATCCAAACAAAAGAGAGGGAAAAAAAAAGAAGAAGAAAGGGAAATTAGGGACATGTTTCCTTGCAGAAAAAGACAAAGTGACATGAAAAAATGTGTTGAATTGAACATAGGAATGAGAATTAATGAAATGTCATAATCAAAATGCCATTGGTCTGTGTTTCGTCTACTCAGTTGTCCTTCAATAAAGACATACCAACAGTTCATGATGATGCCTTCACGTTTCTGGCCACTGCATTACCTACTTGTTATTTACATTAACTAGCCTCTTGTACATTCCACAATACTATCAATCACTTATATTTAGTATAATTTTGTCCTTTAAATTTTAGTCATTTAATCTCTTTGATCCCTCCACGCTTAACTCTTTATATATACATATATATTATAATTAAATATGCACACACATACAAACATGTCAACGCTAAGTTGAAACTCGGAATCGCATCTAAGTATGACGAGTGGCGTTGCTGTTGAGATAACTTACATTTGACAAGTTATCCCAACTCATACTTCATAAGTTTATAGTATGTCACGGTTAGATATGAATTAATTAATGGCATTAATTAATATATAAATAAAGTTTTCAAATAAACTATCTTTACTTTATCTTCTCTCTAATCCTATATATAAGATATGAATAATCAAATTACATAGATAACAAAATTAGTTAAAACTGGTTGAATGTAATAAGTGTGTAAAAGAGTATTTTATTTTTCAAAAATACTCTTATTCATAAAAAGAATGAGCAAATAGGAAAAAAAGTGATAAGCAAGTGATATAATGACATACTCCTCCGCTTTTTGATATAATACCTATTTAATTAATTTGATTAGATTAAGAAAGTTAGGTAAGTTAGTTAATTATAAAAAAAAATATGACATGCTTTTCTTAAAACACCATAATCATCTTTCTTAATATCCTTCCTTTCTCACTTGATTATGGTTGAGAGAGTATCCATAGAAGTAATTTAAGAAAAATTGATATATATATATATATATAATAAATAAGTCTTATATTTAAGGTTAAAATTAACTTAATAATTGTGTCATATATTAAGAATCAGAGGAGTAACATGCAATTAACAAAAAGGCGAAAATAGGAACAAAAAAAAGAGAGATTAAAATTTTAGACATTCTTTAAGTATATAATATAAATAGGACCACATTTATCCTAAAAATTGTATCTGACGATGTATAAGGTTCAAAGATTAGGCGATTTTTTTGTTTGTTTTAAAGTTAATTGGGGACCAATCATTTTGATATGGTACGGCTAACTATTGCTTTTCTCACACATAGCAAGGAAGGGGGTCAATTAGAAGAAGATGTGAGGTGTAAATGAGGTACTGAAAAAGGTGGGTGAATTGAATGTAACAGCAAAAGCAATTCTTACATTGTGGTTGGCGTTTAAAGCTTTTTTGAAAGTATCCAATAGGTGGATTTGGAGGAAATTAAAAAAAACAATAAAAGAAAATATTATTAAGATTCTTTATGTCCCTCTGGGGTAATTTAAACCACATCTTTTTATGACCTCAACAACTAATAAACCTCCCATTATTGGCTTAGCTGTCCTGCTTCATTCTTAACCATACGTTGGCCTTCTTAATTTGTACTCTTAGACTTGTGGTTATAGACTTGCTAACTGTTCATGTAATTAAACAGATCCATATATATGTGTGCGTGTCACAAAAAGCATAAATTGTTTTATTCTCTTTTACATTGCGTGTGGAAGACTTGGGTGTTTTATTAGCCACATATGAAACAAAAGGATCTCATTTTTACACTTGTTATAATTAATCATTTGTGTCAAATTAAATGCGTTGCACTATTTCAATCATCAATCAAGCATCAACCTAAAAAATGGAAGTATTTGAGGACAAGAAAGGACACAATAATATTGCAAAGAAAATTAAAATTAAAAATGGTATTAAAAATTTCAAACAGGTTATTAGTTTTGGAAGATAAATTGGGTGAGATGTGAAACAGGTTATTAGTGTTTCTTATAAATTGGGAAAAAGTTCCCCATTAAAAATATTATTGAATCCAATAAATTTTTATACACAAAAAGTATTAATACTTTGCAAATTTTATAGTATCAATATTTTGATTTAAATCCTTTTTACCAATAAAATTTTTAACGTGGGACTTATTTTAGCTTTCCCAAAGATTGTTATTAAAATAGTACAACAAGGAGGAAAAGAGGAAAGGGGGACTGAAACTCAAGCGCGAATATGAGGTTTTCACCTCTCCCCCTCTACATATATTGTTCCTTATTATCACTAGTAGGAGGAGATCTAAACTCGCTTTGATTTAAAAGTTTTTGGCATTAATTGTTGCTGTGTTTTCTATTATTATTGATAATCTCAAGAGAGTAAAGTAGAAATATTTGAAGCCAAAATGAAACAAAACAATATTGCACGTGCAAAGCAACAAGTAAATAAGACACATGCATCATATTTTACTTTCAACATAAATTCCTGTATAAGTAATTGAATAAAACAATAAGAAAAAGGAGGTTGGGGAAGCCAAATCCAACTATAAATGAATATGAATACTAATCTTCTCCCTTCACTTCACAAAACTTCACAACACCTCATTGTTCAAACTCGTGGATACAAGTTTCAACAATTCCCCCTCTTTCCATGTTCAGATCAAAGACTCATCAAACTATACTTTTCATTTAGATTATTCAAAGTTTTTGACATGACTAGTACTATAATCCCTCCTAACAACTTCAGAAAGTAAAGTTTTAAGCTTGATACCATAAGGCCCAGGCTTTACGGCATCAATATTAGCAGAGAACAACATTAAATCTTGAGTCTCTGAAGAGGAAGAAGAAGAATCTATAATGGTGTCATTACTATTGGTATTCTTATCATTTGTGTCTGGTTTTGATGAGCACCATTGTCCGGAAACAACACCAGAATAAGAAGGACATGTGTTGAGGATGAGATCATCAATCTTGTCAAGAACCAAATCATTGTGAGCAAAGGGACGAGCAAAGGCAGCCCCACTTTCCAACAAGGAATCATAGTGAGAGAGATCAAGGAATTGGGACTCAGAAGGGTCAGTGTCCCAGAGAGAGAACATGAGGAAGTTGTCAATGGAGGTGTTATGGAAATCAATGGAGTTGCATAACAGCGTGTGGAAGTAGGACTCAATAGGGTAGACCATGTTGGTGAAGAACATTAGCAGCTTCCTAGGTAAGTTGTCCCATCCACTCACACAATAATCCATGAATGCTCTTGTGAATACCACCCATGGTGATCCTATATTATTACATTACATATCACATCACATCACTCACTAATCATTCATAGATTATATAAGCTATCAAAAGAATGACATCTTATTAAGTCTCAAAAACTTAATTTAATAACGGATTAATAAATTTTTGGTTTTTGAAATTTGGGTCTATTTTAGTTTTGGTCATTCAATTTTTAAACCAGCGAGTGGTTGTAGTTCCTAAACTTCGTTCAAGTATAATAGTATTAAAATCTGTTGAAGTGTCATAAATGCTGTTAAAGTGATTATGTAAACTTACCCGATTACACCTAATTGGATCTTGTATGGATAATAGAAAAAAGAAAAGAAAAACCTCTTGAAATGCCACGTGGAGAACAATTATAAAATGTGGATAGGTTCTCAAAACACAATGCAATGAACAACTTCTCAAAAGAACAATGAAGAAAAAAAAGAGTGCTAAACAACTGCGTTTTGAGGACCTATTCTTTTTTTTCCCCTGTTATCCACGCAAGATTCAGCTATGTGTCATTTGGTAAGTCTACATCACTATTTTAATACTACCTCTGGTTCTAATTACAAGACCTCATTTGTAGTCTACAAACGAGGTCTTATAATTAGGATCAGAGGTATTATTACATCTTAAAGGTTGAAAATTAGAATAAGTTGTAGATATCAATTCAGATGGCTGCAAATATGAGAGTGATAGTTGCAAATCAAGCATTTGAGTTTTTGTGACAATTGCAACTTTCAATGATTTATAATTGAGATTCCACTATTTGAAAGTATTTGAATCGATTTTTTAATTAATTTTTGAATAAAATTAATTTTGTGCCAATAATCCTTTTGTTATCTATGATTGTACTATTTCATTAACTAAATCATTATATATTGGTGACACTACTTTACACTTTATTTTTGCGTAACCTCTTAAACTTTAGATTATGTACAAAAAAAATTTCCTAAATTTTTGTCTTCTATGGATAGATCCCATAAATTGCCCAACCACGCTAATGAAGTAACAAAATAATCAATGAAAAATAAGTTATTTAATTACATATATTTGAAAGTCTAAGTAGGTTTATAGAAAAATTGGGAAAAAAAATTCTCCATTGAAAATTTATTGGCAAGAAGGACTTGATAACATTTTTATATGAAGAAAATATCGGCACTCTAAAAATTTTGTACAGATAAAGTACCGGTATTCTAATTTATCCTTACCAATAAAATTTTTAATGAAAAACCTTTCTTCTGTTCTTCTTAAGTTCATTGGTAAATTTTTAAAACCATGCAGATTATCTATACACAATCCAAAATTTAAGAGAATTATGATATCGTGTGTGTTGTGAAAGTTAACTGACCTCCAAATATGTTGAAAGTATCAGGTGGATCTCTAGACTCCACAGCAAAGAAAAGAGGGGTGCTGGTTTCATAATATAAACTGGGGTCCACCACTATTTGATTCAGATCTCTTTGCCTGCATCATCAAATCAAATCTTTTTCCATTATTTTGTAACCAATTTGATTCTATAATTCAGAATAAATAATCTAATTCCCTTCAGCTCAAAAAAAAAAAAAATCTAATTCCCTCTTCGCTTTTTTTTTATGGCCAACTTGCTAGGTTGGTTGGCCCTTTTATGGTCAGGATAATGCCATGTGATTTGAGTGAATATGTGAATGATAACAAGAAAAAGAAAATGATTTGATTTATGGATAATGAACCCCAAAAAAAAAAATCCTTGAAACAAACTTTTCTTTCTATTTGTTATTAAAAATTGGTCCTTTTAATTCATATTGATTGTGTTAAACTAAGAGAGACTTTGCCACTATTTGTGGTGAGACCGAGCAGTTATACTCTTATGACATAGACCACTACTAAAGATCTCAACAGACAGCATTTATATATGCATTAGGTAAAGGTCAGTGTTAAGCAACTTCAAAACTTTTTTTTAAAATCTAATTTGAACAAACACGTACGTAAAGATGTCAACACCAAACTTAAGTCTGAAACTTCGTCCAAACTTGACGGGTGGCACTATCATTAGGATACCTTGCCATTGACATTCAAAGTCTTTTTAGTACTTGAGCACTAAGGAGTCTCTGTACATAAAGTTACCACCAATGCAAAACTTGAGTGGTTACAGAAGGTTTTGAACCCAAACCTAATAAGAGGTTAAGGTGTTTTTTGATTTCTTACAATGAGACAATGGCTTCTTTCAACTTGCATCAGTAAAACGATCAGCTTCAATAGCTTTTCACAGGAGAAGTACCCTTTTGCCATTTCTTCTATATTTCATTCTATGGCTTAGCAGATCTTGTAGATTTCATTTCACTCTGTATATACAAGAAACTTGCGCACTTAAAGGCCCCCCCCCCCCCCCCATGAGAGTGAATTTTATGAGAATGGAGATAAATTTCAAAAACATGTTTTCAAAAAAAAATTTACTAATAGATTTGAAATCTCAGATATCTAGTCCTAGCTCCTTTTCCAATTTAAAAAATGATTTCACTTTTATTTTGTTAACGGAAGATACTCATTCAAATAAAAACAATTTCATAATATTGTCCGGCAAACGTCATCTTTATTAGCTTCTTTTTAATGTTAACATCAAGTTGCTTCAGTGATAGTGCCACCTGTCATGTTTAGATGAAATTCTATAGCTAGACATATTTATATATGTGCATGCATTTAAACTATATATATATATATATATATGTATTAGCTCTCTTTTGATAATAGGAGAAAAGATAGCACTTGGAGATGCGAATGTTTAATAGCACAAGACCACTATAACACATATCTGACATGATTGTATGAATGATGCATCCTATTGTAAATTTTAAAATTTTATATTTTATAATAATATTGATAATGACGTGTCAATATCAATTGATTTTAATTCTACAGGTAAACAAAAGACAGTTTGGGAGGTGAAGGCACTTATTGTCAATCCAATATATGGGCAATTTTGATTGGAAGAAAACATTTATGGACTAAATTGACATAATATCTTTGAAACATCCAATTGAAAGGATGAGAAAAAAACCAAAAGAAAGAAAGAAAAAATAGAATGGCGATATTATATGGATTAAATAATTGAGAAGACCCTTTTTAAAATTAAAATTATGATTTTTTAAAATATCAGATTGACAAGAAAGTACTACATTAGGGACTGAGTCATTGATGTAGTAAAAAGAGCATAAATAAAAATGAAGGAAGAAGACTAGATATCAAACGTGTTTTTTATTTAAGAAAGAATTAGGAATAAGTGCAATAAAATAATAAATAAGAAAGATAATAATTAAGTGTTTTAACTTGTCATATCTTTATTGAAAATTACACGATTTTTTTGAAAAATAATTTGAATATCCTAAAATGAAGATGTCTGTAAAGTATGAAGTCCTTCTGAAATAGAGAATCACGTAATAAATAAGAAAACTATTATTAATTATTTTGTCAACATCTTATATTTCAGATCAATTTTTTTTTTTTGGTAGAAAATTTCTTGTTTTATGAACCGATGAGTATGTTAATTAATTAGAAAGCGCAAACTTTTCACTTTAAAGAATATAATTTCTCTCTAAATCAAATTCAGATATCTTGTGAACTTTTATATAACTTGTTTAACACACCGACCTGATAAAGAAATATCAAACACGTGATTATGATACAAAGTCACATTTAAAAAAAGGTTTGCATGCTTATAATTTAATACTCCTCCGTCCCTTATTATAAGATCTACTTTTTTTGAATAGGTTTGTTCCTTTTTATAAGATCCTCTTTGGGTTTATCTGAGCATTTAATACATCATTACCTATTTTACTCTTAATTTAATGCATTTAATACATTCTTCTTCTTCATTTATCTCACTATTACTCTCTCACATTTACCTATTTATATATAGGGGTATATTTGGAAAAAAATTGTATTTACTACATATTAATTGTTTTTAACTAATTTTAAATATTTTTTTAAACCTCATAATTTAGTTAAAAGGATTTTATAATAAGGGACGGAGAGAGTACTAGCTTTAGCTATTCATGTTTTATTTGGACATTAGTCTTTTTTTTTTAAACAACTTCATGGTATTCTAATCCAAATTCGAGTATTATTAGGTCTCAAATGCTTGTAGCATTCTTTTTATGTGATTTTTATTTTTAAAAATTCATATGACTTACAATCATATTTTAAAATTATTTGTTTTTTTTCATTTGCCTTAATTTCAATTAGGGAATTATTCAATTTATGGATATTATAAATGCTTTCTGTTCATAATATAACTATGATTTAACCACCGAATGTAGATGAAAATAATAGCTAAAAATTTATATCATTAAATATGTAAAAAATTTATAAAAAATTTCAAATATACCTCATTAAAATTTAATACAGTACTACATTAATTCTAATGAATTAACTACTTATAAAATTTTAATTATACAAAAGACAAAAATTGGAAAAAAAATGCTCTAACTATTATGCTCATATTCTTGATCAAATCAAGCTTAAGAAAAAAAAAAATTTATATATAGAAGAGCATTTATGAGTTGGTAATAAACAGGTAAAGTAAGGCTATCTGCTCAAACCTAAAAGAGTGAAAAGCCAAAATTGATAGGCTATTTCAACCACTATAATTGTGATAATGATGCTTTTAATTAATGAAACATAATAACTTAATGCACATGATTATGGGAAGAAACCTGACCTTACTTCAAGGATTACTTACTCTTTCCTGATGGTCTTGTTTGTGAAATGAATGAAGTTCAGATCTTTTGGTAAGAAAGTAAAAGCATGCAGAATATCTGCACAAATAGAAAAGCAAGTTTTAACTAATTGTGCCACTTTAGTCAAAGTTCATTAATTCATGGAGCCTATAGGTCTTAAATGACACTGATTCAGAGTAATTAAGGGCCATTCTAAGAAAAAAGTTTTTACCCAAAATACTACCTGATGTCATTAATATCAGAGTTAGTTATAATGAATTTTATTTTAAATATAATATCATTAATATCAAAATTAGTTATAATAAATTTTATTTTAAATATAATGTCTCGGTTTACTTTATCTACCAAATTTATAATATTTTAAAAAATATATTCTTATTAATTGTCAGGGGTTTCCTAATAAATAGTTCCATCACATGATTAATGAAGATAATTTAGAAAAATAAACACATATTTGTTACACTTGATCAACTCAACTAATTTATTTAATTTATCTAAATTAGTTATCTAACTCTTACATTAAGTATTAAAGACAGTACTAGTGGATAGAAATATTATTGTAAAGACTATCACTTTTTATTACAAGGTAGGTTTATCATCAGCTTTCTTAATTTACATGGATAAAATAACTTTGAAATGAACTGTTTATGACCAAAGTTTCTTCTGCAAAGAATTTATAACGAGGATAGTTTTACCAAAAAACGGAATAGTAGTGATAGCGAAGAGGACCTATATTATGATTTAATCTTCGGTACTTCCTCCGTTTTCAAGCAACAGTAGTGAGGAGTTAATTACTTTCCAACAATTTTCATCTTAGAATTCTAATACAACATTAATTAATTTTTGACCATTTTATCCTTCAACAATAACAATTATAATTAATGAAATTAAAGCTTTTACCTAGAAATAATAGATAATAATGTTATACTACCTCCAGTCCTTAATATAAGAGCTTGTTTAACTTTCAATTTAGTCCTAAATATAAGATATCAATCCACTTTTTATTTTCTATTTATCTATTTTTTTCAAAATAGTTCTTATAGTTTGCACATGTTAAATATTTCATCAAATAGTAGTTTTAGCTAATACACATAATTAGCAAGGGTATTCTACGAAAAATAATTCCTATTTATTACAAATAACTAACTTAACTAATTTTTTTAATCTTTCTAAATTAGTCAACTAGGTTTTATATTAAGGACCGGAGGTTGTAGTAAAGACTAATGCTTTTTTTTTTTTATTACAATGCAGGTTTATCAGCTTTCTTAATTTACATGTATAACTTAAAAGCAAAAGTGTACTTTAATCATCTAATTTTATTATAAATTTTAATTTAGTTCCTTGATTTTATACCCATACCAATACTGTTATTATTCACCAGCAATTGTCTCTTTTTATTATATTTTTTTGGACACAGAAAACATTTATACCCACAAAATCACTTTCTTTATTCTGTTTTTTCCATCATTTCTTTCCATTCAATATGCCAAAACGAACCCTTAGATCTACACATAACTGCCCAAACAAGGAAGAAGCCAATCTAATATTTCTAACAATCAATTTCTCATGAACTTATAAACAAACCAAACATTGAAAAAAAAGAAGCAAAATTCATAAGCCAATAACATTAATCAAACTCACCATCCTGAGTCATAAGAGGATAATCTGAAGCACTCAAGGTGATGAACCAATCCCAATCCGCATTGAGTTTCAGAAGCAGAGCAGCAGCATGAAGAATAGCAGAAAGACCCGAAGATCCCATCCTATTGATGGCATAGCTCTTCCCAATCACATCAACATTCCCAAATGCCTCAAACAATTTGAAGGATTGAACTGCTTGAGCCAAATCCAATCTCTCAGAATCAGATGAAGAATCATCAAGTTGAAGCAAATAGCGATTTCTGGGATGATATATGGCTTTCAATAATCTCATCATCTTCTTGCTCTCTCCTTTAGTCCCACAAATCCAATATGCAAGAACTGGAGGGTACCCTTTTCCTTTTGATATTACCCTCTTTGAATTAAAGTTCTGCAATTTATTGACTGTAACAGAAGAAGAAGAGGAAGAAGAAGAAGTAACTTTTGGTATATTGAATCTTGAAGCTGTTATGATCAGCAGAATACTCACTGCAATAGTGAGAAGACAGAGACTGTAATTCAATCCTCTGCATGGGAATTTGATTGTTCTCATTGAATTGGGATTTTTTGTTTTCTGGGGATTTAAAGGAAAGTTGAAAGATTGATCAGAATGAGATGGATATTGGGCTGTGAGGAAGAAAAGAAAATACAGATTATGATGGAATGTAGCGAGAATGAAGATGGGAGATTTTAAGATACACTGAAGGAAGAAGATGGAGGAGAATTATGAGTTTATGGATAAATGATTCAAGTTGAAGGGACTAAAGTAAGGTGAAAAATCAGTGTGAAGAAGGTCAGACTGAGAGAGGAAAAAGGTGGGGGATGTTGAAACTTGTACCTAACGTTTGAAAACTTGAACTTCAAGATAACAAAAAGTATCTGAGCTTTTTCTTTTTCTTTAGAAAAAAGGCTAAAACACTAACAATCAATAAAGAGGAGGGAGTTTCAATGGTCCAATTTGTATAATTTGAACTCTCCGGGGGCATTCTGTGTCTATAGTGCGATTTAGTGAAGAAAATGTCTGATGCACTCTTTTAAGTTCCACAACATTGCATACCTAGCCCTTCAGTTTTGTCAAAATAACACAAGTAAGCTTACTGATTATGCTTAAATTTTGGGTATCTCTCCATTTAAAGCTATAAGGTTTGGTATCCTCAGGTAAGATAATTAAGCTGCCATTGCCATTTTCATAATATGATTCAGCAGGGATGGAGGGTGATGCTTTGCATATAGATCAGTGAACAAATTTCATGCATTTCATCACACACAAAGCATCATAATTACATTTATTGACACAAAAAAAAGCATCATAATCACATGAAACCTCATAAATAACATTGGGTGACTCCATCTGTACCAACACCAGCACAATAATTACAGCCCTGCTTATGTGTTTTTCTTCCTAGGATCTTCCTCTATTTCAATGGTGCTCCAATAAAGAGTGTTTGAAGAATAAATCATACTCCCTCCCCGTCTTTAATGTTTGCAAATATTGAAAAAAATCAGTTATGTTAGTTATTTGTCAAAAATATATGTTGATTTTCATCAATTATCTTTTTAAACTATTTGTATTAAAAACTACCCATTTGATGGAAGATTTATGCATGTAGAAAACAAAGTAAATTAGGATTTTATATTTAAGAATAAAAAAAGTAATATTTACTATTTGTATGCGTATTTACAGGCTTTTTTGGTTGCATAGCTCTTTAACTATGTTGAGAGAGAAAGAATTATTAATATCAATATCTACATAAAATATAAAAACTTTAGGACAAATTAACTTACTGATCGGCACGCCCTTCTTGTAAAGTTCATTCCGTCTGCTAAATAAGGCCATTATTTTTCCCTTTCCTTTTTCCTCTTAAACAAGGCTATCATTGCACTATCATATAATTGAATTGAACAGGCATTAGGGGGGGGGGGGAATCATGTCCAAATTACACATACTATTATGAATGTCTATGCTTCCATCATATAGAATAAAGTGCATCTTTAGTCTTACACTAAATTCTATTAAAAGATAATTTTGGTCATTTTTAACATCAAACCAAAGACACCACGAAGCAATCACTCGACATAAAACAAATATTTGTTAAAAGACATCTTGCTGTAAACATATCATTTTTGTTCATATTTAGAATTTAGCGAAGGGCAATTTCCATTGGATTTAACTCACTGGTCAACGTAGCAGTAGTCTAAATTTTTCAGAATAAGTTATCCTTTACAACTTTAGTTGACTGAACTTGTACCGAAGAGTTTACCTAATTGAACTCTTCTAAACCTCTCATGCTAAGCTTTGATAATATAAAAATTTGATCATTAAGATAAATAAACAACTAACTAACTTTTCAAAAATGTAATCATTACAATAACAATCATACATGCCTAACCTGAATATATCTTCTACCCACCGTAATTTCAAATGGACGGAAGCAAGAGATCGTATTCACAAAATTGTTATATTGACATTGATGTTTCCTTGGGATAAACACCATCAAACTAAAATATAAGGGAATGAACTGTAACGAACTGAGAATACAAAAACAAATAAACACCCAGAGGCCAAAAAGAATAAGTGCTTCACTTCCCTTTTGTTAGGAGAGAGCAAAGGCTACAGAGCTAGAAACAGTATACGACAAAGAATGATAATGCATCAAAGTGAAAAAAGATTCCATAATCAATCAGAAATGATCACGAGTTCAATTTCAACTTTGTTCTCCACATTTCTCCAATGACCTTTTTAGGAGAAGGATCATCTGGCCCCTTGTCTCGCTGTCCTGAAGTGAAGTATAGCCATCCATTCCAAAATCCAACTAAAGTGGTTTTCACACGGTAAGGTAATTTCCCAACCACTGACCACTTCTGCAAAACAGATAACACAACGCAATTAAACAAAAACTGACAACAGAGTATGATGCTCTCCAGCTTGCAATTAGAATCTAAGGTTGTTGTCTCTCTCTGCAGAATACAAACCTAAGACAAGTACAGGTGCCCTAAAACTATATTCAAACAAAACAGGTGCTGTAATAAGTACACTTTATTTAAACAAAAAGCTGACAACAGAGCATGATGGTCTCCCACTTGCAAGCTAGATTATAAGCTTGTTGTCTCTATCTGTAGAATGCAAACCTAAGACAAGCACAGGCATCCTAAAATTATATTAAAACAAAAATATGTGCTCTAATAAGTACACCTCAATATAATAACATAAAGCAGATAACCAGCTGATTTGGCAAACAACTTCACACCAAAAAAAAAAAAAAAAAAAAATAAATATGGGCTTCCATTCTTTTAACCGAAGGAATTCTACTTCAAAATTTTCATTTCTTGTGTGGCCTCATCATTCTTTTAACAGTCGGAATCCTCTAAGTTGCATTACAGTTCTTCTCTTCATAATTAATTTATTTAATCCCCTATAAAGACCTTAAAATGCTAACCGTATCCATTGCAGTCTTCTGCTGACCACAATGGATCCGTGTCATTCCTTTAAATGACTTTATAAGCAGTGCATAGCGGGCCAAAAAATTACAAATTTTGGTATAAAATAATGTAGATTTAGGAGTCCAGTATATATTCTAGATTCAAGGGGAAAAATCATGGCACAAAAAGAAAGCAGAAACAGTTTTCTTGGCTGGTCCCAATAGTCAGGCTCTAGTGCCAGAGGAAGATGCCCAAAAAAAATACTAAAATGGGCACTGAACAGATGAAGCAATACATGCATCGGTAACAAAATATTAACACATATGCAGACACTAAATACATTAGTCACAAAATATTAACACATATGCAGACACTAAATATATTTCCCAAGTGGTCTATAAGAGAGAAGTCAGTACCAGAGTATTCAAATTAAACTGCATTACTTCTCCGTTTAAAACCATCTTCTTGGTTATAGGATGCTTCTCTGTTGTGCCTCCAACAATAACTATAGAATTGTTCACAACCACCCAAGCAAATTCAATATGTGAGTTCGGTTTTGGCATGGGAGGTAGCACTTTCCACTTCATCTCATCATCCAGCATGTAAACATCAGTATACACCACCTGAGACAGCAATATAAAATGACTCAGTGAGCCAAACTATGAGGATGGACGGCAATGTGGTTAATTGCAGTTTATAATGATTGAACATTACAAGGAGGTCAATCATGTATAGTATCCATTCTATTTGGAGAAAAGGAAAAAACAAGCCAATACATGCACTGGGTTTACCAATTATCACTAAAAGACCAAATGGAGAGAGGAAAAAAAAAACAAAGAGTTTTACCCATTGCTTACCTCTGGCCTGCGTGAACACTTGAAAATAGGTGAGCCAGGTTTGGCCATAAAATCACCTTCTTGACCACCAATAACATAAAGACGATCATCAACCACGACACAAGCCCTGAAAGAAGAGAAGAGAGGAGGGAGCTAAAAACCTGTAGATGATATATGCATATTGCATTGACATGTTACAATGTCAACAAACCTAGACTAGTTCGACTCAAAAGAGATTTGGCCAAAAAAACACTCAAAAGAGATATCTGTTTTTTCCAAATTCCAAATTTTATAACCCACCTATCTCTTGAAAGAATATAAAAAAATTGACTCTTTAGTGCCATCCATTATTAGTAAAAAGATATAAAATGACAATTCGAGTTAAAATTGGCAGCATAAGATTTTTTGGATAATTTAAAAATTTCAGGTACGCATAGCACTTAAGCTCTACTAACTATAAGGTTATGATTCATGATCTCCAAGGCTGCCTAAGAGGGCAAGATGGTCCAAAATTATTAAGACGTAGTTATTCTACTAGACATCGTAAATAAATTGTGATTAGGAAAGATCATGAAGGAAAAAAATGATAATTCTACTACTACTACTTCTTCTTCTTCTTACCAGTTTAGGAAATAAATATTGTAATTTATAAGTTCCAATTGATACCTTTTATATTAACTATAACAAAAAAGACTACCACTAAGATCATATTTCTATATACTTGCTGCTGAACACATCATATCAGTTCCATCAAATTTGTAAGAGACAATTCATAATTCATGAACCTGTGAGGTCCGCCACGGGGAATGGGTATCTCAGTTCTCCACTCCTTCTCCAATGGTTTGCCACCCTTTACAGCAAGACTCCAGTGCTCTAATCCAGGTGTATGTCGATTCTCCTTGCTGCCACCCATGACATGCAGTCTACCCCTCCAAAGTTGAGTTGCCGGTGCATACCTGAATATAGCATAGTTAAAACCTCCATCCAAAAGATGATACAAGGAAGAAAAAAGAAATATGTTGGGAAATCTGCCCATATCTCACCCCATATCTTCAAGAATTTAATCCCTGATCTCTGGGGATTAAAGTCATCTTCTTATTGCTGTGGCTTAATCCCATTTTATGGCCTAATGTCACTATCTACCTATGGACTACATGTGATGGCAGCCATGTGCCTTAATATGTTATATCTTGTTCTTTCTTGGTTAATGCATGAAATCAGATTCTGCTAACTGATTTTTCTACAAATTATGTACATAGTTTGCTCTGAGCCGAAAAAAGTTAGATCACTGAAACACAGCTAATGTAATGATAACCTCTTAATGAGTTTCTTTATTTGAACTCATAAACTATCTATGCCTAAGGATCCAGTTTATTATCAATAAAAATTCTAGCATATGTATGATTTTAAGAGAGATCGGGATTCTGAATTCTTTCTTTCATGAGGGTTAAACTTATGAAGTACTTGTCAAAGCACCTTAACCATCCCCGCAGAAACACAACACCAAACCTACCACCAGCAGAGACATTAAAAAGCATAATAAAACCATAAAAGCATATACTGATTTCAAAGATACTCCTTCTACTTCAAAATATAGAACTTTTAAGTTTTAAGGTATCAGCACACAGATCAAGAAATGCAATTAATACATAAAAATATTGACTACATTTAAATTTTACTCCTAAAGCTTAATAAATGCTCTTTGAAATTGCTGGAGTAGATAAGGATATACTATGGAAATATGTTAATGAATGCTGCTTTGAACTTCTAAAAGAACATATAAAATGAAGCAAAAATATTTCCCTAAAAAGACTTATATTCTGATGCAGAGGACGTATTATATCTTAGGTGACATATTCAAAACATGTTAATTTCCAAGGAAGATCAATAAACTATTAC